GCTCAAACACTAACAAGCTGACAAGATCTTTCACTGTCTATAGCTGCGTACCCATTCCCACCTGGGTGAAGTGGGGAAAATAAAAATTCGTGTGAAGTGCCTTTCCCGAGGACACAACGTCGTGCCCGCGGCTCGAACCTCCAAACCCACAATCCCACGATTACGAGGCAGGAAGCCAACGACGCTATGGGTTTATCACCTGTGTTCTTGTATAATAGAGGGAAAACAAGGGGAACAAACCTGTTATAATATTATTATACAGAGTAGTTGCTTACTCAACAAGTCGGCTATGCATTGTATCAGACCAGAAAATCGGACACACCACTGTATATAGATGGAAACCTCAACAAGAATATTATATTCTGGCCTCTACTGGATGTGGTTACAGTCGGCAGATGTTGAATTTGAGTTTCAGAAAACTGTTGTCTTCAATGAGGAAAAAGGGGGAGAAGAGTGAAAAAAAACTATTTACCAATTCTTTTTAAATTTAAAAAAAAATTATTTGATTTTCTGATGGAAATGAGGAAATGAATCATAATATATCTGAGAAGCTACATATTATGTTGTTGTTTTTTTTTATTCTGAAGTCTCAATTTACCATCTCAGCTTCCTGCCTGAAAATGTAAATTGAAATGCTTTCCCCCTGAACTGAATACGACTGCGATTCACATAAACAGAATGCAGATGGCCTCTGAGAGATGCACTTACAACTATGTAATTCATCATCATCATCATCATCATCATCATCATCATCATCATCATCATCATCATCATCATCATCATCATCAAATGCCAGATCTGTGACAGACGTCGGCGACCATGGTACTCCATTTAGTTCTTTGCGCGGAAGCCCTCAAGAAAACTACATTATCCTGATCCTTCCCCTTAATCCATCTGTTTGGGCTCTTCCCAAGTAGGTGGATATAAAGGGAAAAAAAGGCAGATATAATATGGATTTTCACAAAAGGTTTTGGAAGATCTCATACTCGTACATAATATTATCTAAACAGAATGGGGATTCAAAGATTATCATGTTGTGTGTTGGGTTTTTGTTGTTGTTGATGTTACTGTTGTTTGTTTGTTTTTTTGGTTTATGTTGTTTGTTTGTGTGTTTGTTTGTTTGTAAATTTGTTTTGTTTTTAT